TCGTACACATGCCAATTTCACGTCTTACACCAATCATCTTTCAAGAGCGATTACTGTAGAATCAACTTTGGCTAATGGGAACCCATTCTTGTCGTCAGAGGCGACTAACTGGATCGGATGGTCGGGTTCGCTGACTTGGTTGACTGATGCTCGTGATATTGGATTGTCTGGTTCACTGACTTGGTTGACTATTTACATGTAGCTGGAGTATTGTTAAGTGCGGCGTAAAACTAAATTCAGTCAATCATGTTCATCACTAAATGCCCTTCAAAGAAAACTAGAAGACTTTCCGGGCTCCAATGTACTTGGATCACAGAGGCTATGATATAACAATGCGATGATATAATCAGCGGCACTATTCATATATGGCAGAGCGACCGTATCAGTTCCTGACAGTTCGACAGTTACCAGGAAGTGGCATGGCGAAATCTAGATCGTCATGATCAGATGTCTGTCGCATCACTCTCTATAAGTTGGCCCATTTCTGTGTCCCCAGCCGTGATATTGCTGGAATATTGCTAAGGGACTGTTCATAATTTATGGATAGGAGGGGTGATGATGGTTTAAGGTGAGTGTGTGTGGGTGGGGTGGGGGAGTGTGTGGATGGGAGTGTGTGTGTGTGTGTGTGTGTGTGGTGGTGGTGTCACCCATTTTGTTCGGGGGCTGGAGGGGGGTAATTTGGTACTGGGACGGGTTGTCAGCAGCAATTTTGTACATAAAATATGTTTAAAATTGTGCTAAGAAATTATACGAAGGGGACGGGGGGTCATTGATTTTGTACATGACATGCAGGGGGGTCACTTATTTTGTACATACATTTTAGGGGGTCATTCAAATTGTACATGCTTCTCTATAAATATCAGCATCATCAACCCCACCCCCACCCCCACCCCTCTAGCCATAAATTATGAACGGTCCCTATAAATGTGGCGCAAAACCAGACTCATTGACTAGTATTAGTTGGCTTTAAGTCCAATAGTCACAGATCACAGTTTGTCAAATGCTTTTCACCCAAAAATATTACTATGCGACAACAAACTTAGCAAAATAAGCGTCCCAATGAGGGACAGTTTTGCCTATGAATCCCGAGGCGGGATAGGTCTGCCGAAATGCCAATCGGGGAAGGCGACCTTCAAAAACACCAAACATCAAGTCAAGTAAAGGGACAGTTTGCAACCCGTTGGAAAGTGCATGTGCGTGTCAGGGTGGCTGGCTTCCCGGTATATTCAACTAGTTGCCCGGGGTAGGTGATACACCCCGTTAGACTGTCCCACCGATCGATAGGGATCGACCTAGTCTGTCGTACAGACCCTGAAGCAAATATATCCAAGAAAGCCCACGCAAGTCTAGAAAATGTGGCAAGTCTAGATTTCCTCAGCTTCAGGGTCTCTGAAAATGAAGAAAGTCTCAGGGCTCCTTTTCATTATATTATATTTTTTTTTTACTACGAACTTTTTTTCAGTAAAATATGTTCATATCAGAGACTAGTTGTTAGTGTAGGATCGACCCTGACATGCCGCCAACTGAGGCAAGTACACAGTGTAAAGTGTTTATAGATCTTCATGCATGAGAAGTACTCCTAAACTATCATAAAAACATCTGGACTGACTGTAAACTTTACATGTGGTGATAGTAACATCTTTAGTGTTTGTGTCCACTATACTATTAATTTGTGCTTTCTTTGCATTCGTTTTGATTATTCCATCTTATATAGTAATTGCATGAACCTTTGTGTGTTTCTTTGCTAAAGGATGCCGGGTTAGTGTTTACTCTAGTATGTGAGAGTGATACGATGACATAGAATATCAAACATCATCCTGGTATAAAATTACAACCAGCGACCAGGCAACAACCAGGAAGTTGGATGCATATGTATAATGGTAGTCTGTCATACAGACCCTGAAACAATAACACACAATACAGCCCCTGCAAGTCTAGAAGTCTAGAATATGTGGCACGTCTAGAATATATGGCAAGTCTAGAATATATGGCAAGTCTAGAATATGTGGCACGTCTAGAATATATGGCAAGTCTAGAATATATGGCAAGTCTAGAATATATGGCACGTCTAGAATATATGGCAATCTAGAATATATGGCAAGTCTAGAATATATGGCACGTCTAGAATATATGGCAAGTCTAGAATATATGGCAAGTCTAGAATATATGGCAAGTCTAGAATATATGGCACGTCTAGAATATATGGCAAGTCTAGAATATATGGCAAGTCTAGAATATATGGCAAGTCTAGAATATATGGCAAGTCTAGAATATATGGCAAGTCTAGAATATATGGCAAGTCTAGAATATATGGCACGTCTAGAATATATGGCAAGTCTAGAATATATGGCAAGTCTAGAATATATGGCAAGTCTAGAATATATGGCAAGTCTAGAATATATGGCAAGTCTAGAATATATGGCAAGTCTAGAATATATGGCAAGTCTAGAATATATGGCACGTCTAGAATATATGGCAAGTCTAGAATATATGGCAAGTCTAGAATATATGGCAAGTCTAGAATATATGGCAAGTCTAGAATATATGGCAATCTAGAATATATGGCAAGTCTAGAATATATGGCACGTCTAGAATATATGGCAAGTCTAGAATATATGGCAAGTCTAGAATATATGGCAAGTCTAGAATATATGGCAAATCTAGAATATATGGAAAAGTCTAGAATATATGGCAAGTCTAGAATATATGGCAAATCTAGAATATATGGCAAGTCTAGAATATATGGCACGTCTAGAATATATGGCAAATCTAGAATATATGGCACGTCTAGAATATATGGCAAATCTAGAATATATGGCAAGTCTAGAATATATGGCAAATCTAGAATATATGGCAAGTCTAGAATATATGGCAAGTCTAGAATATATGGCAAGTCTAGAATATATGGCAAATCTAGAATATATGGCACGTCTAGAATATATGGCAAATCTAGAATATATGGCAAGTCTAGAATATATGGCAAGTCTAGAATATAGAATATATATATGGCACGTCTAGAATCTCTAGAATATATGGCACGTCTAGAATATATGGCACGTCTAGAATATATGGCACGTCTAGAATATATGGCACGTCTAGAATATATGGCAAATCTAGAATATATGGCAAATCTAGAATATATGCAAAAGTCTAGAATATATGGCAAATCTAGAATATATGGCACGTCTAGAATATATGGCAAATCTAGAATATATGGCACGTCTAGAATATATGGCAAATCTAGAATATATGGCAAATCTAGAATATATGGCAAGTCTAGAATATATGGCACGTCTAGAATATATGGCACGTCTAGAATATATGGCAAGTCTAGAATATATGGCACGTCTAGAATATATGGCAAGTCTAGAATATATGACAAATCTAGAATATATAGCAAATCTAGAATATATGACAAATCTAGAATATATGGCAAGTCTAGAACATATGGCAAGTCTCGAATATATGACAAATCTAGAATATATGACAAGTCTAGAATATTTGGCAAGTCTAGAATATATGACAAATCGACAATATATGACCAATCTAGAATATATAGCAAATCTAGAATATATGACAAATCTAGAATATATGGCACGTCTAGAATATATGGCAAGTCTAGAATATGTGACATATCTAGAATATATGGCAAGTCTAGATTATAAGGCAAGTCTGGAATATGTCACAAGCCTAGAATATATGTCAAGTTTAGAATATGTGACAAATCTAGAATATATGGCAAGTCTAGAATATATGGCAAGTCTTAAATATATGGCACGTCTAGAATATATGGCAAGTCTAGAATCTATGACAAATCTAGAATATATGACAAGTCTAGATTACCACAATTTCTCTTTGAAAAGGAAGAGTCTCTGGGCTCCTTTTTATCAAACTTTACGAATACTATCCAGGAATCGTGGTTTCTGTAAATTATGTTCTTTTCAGAGACTAAATGTCATTGGAGTGAACTATGAGTGCACAGTGCCTTACAGGTCGAGGTCAGAAGTAACGTATGTATATATGTGATAAAACTTTCTTAGACATGTGCAAATTCAAGTACTTTTTAGATTAAGGGACCGTTCAAAATTGATGGCTAGGGGATGATGATTTTTATGGAGAAGCATGTACAATGTGACAGGCACCCAAAAAATTAAGTGCCAATCCCCTGCATGTCATGTACAATGTGACTGACACCACCCACCCACCATAAACTTAAGTGCCAACCCCCCTGCATGTCATGTACAATGTGACTGACACCACCCACCTCTCCCTCTTCGTATATTTCTGAAGCATATATTTGTAATATTTTCTGTACAAAATCGCTGACCTTCCTAGTACAGGTGTACAAAATTGATTACCCCTACCTCCCCAGAAGAACATGGGTGACCCCCAACCCAGCCCATCCCTCCCCCCATCCCTCCTAGCCATAAATTATGATGGGTCCCTACCGCCAAACCGTTTTTCGAACAAACATTACATCTACCACTTTTCTGGTGTATTTTCACCGCTTCGGCCGTGGGGTCGTGATACTTACACATGTCACAGAAGTACACGAAGTACATGACCTTGACCTCCATGGCTGGGTGGCTGAGTGGGTAGTGCAGGGTAGCTGACCTTGTATGCAAGCAATCAGATGGGCCACGCCTAGAGTACGGATTTGGATGAGTCTTGAATTAACTGTATGTAAGATCTTTTTTTCAACTGTGTGATGGACAAAGATTGAATCTCATGCAGAAGAACTATAAAGAAAATTGTATGTGTTTTGTTCAGATACAACTGGCTTGTTCTAAATGTAATGATATATTTCAGAATGGTGTCCAAAGAAAAGAAAGTTTTGTACTTTCTGAGTAAACGAAAATATTGTTAAAACAAACGGGATAAAAAGTTGGGCAGTTTTGAAAGATCACTAGGATACTTGCATGAGATACATCCGGAGCAGTATATTGTTTTTAGAACCAGGAAGTATATGGAAAACAGGATACAGTTGCAGTCAACACAAGTTAGTGACTATCAGTGGAAGGCTTCGTCCGGCGCCATGGCAGACATGGGACTTGTGATACATCTGCTGTGTCTCCTGTGGTCTGCTCCTGCCATTCTCTGTGAGTATATTTGTATACTTTTCTTTGTGAATATCTCGATATATTTGTTATTGAACCCATGTACACAAAAACAATTGGCTAAACCAAACATGTCTTAAATCAATGATTTATTAAGTAGTAAGGCCTTAAGCTCACGTACATAAAATGTTAATTTAAAAAAAACAAAAAACACTACGTAAAACTAAAGCATCCCTAATATAAAGTGAGTAATGCAATAACCGAGAGAGATTACTGCATTAAAGGAATTCTAAGCGTCCTCGTACTTTAACTATAATAGTTCAGGGCGAAAATGTGCTTTATTACACTTTCTACGATGCCTAGAGGTTAGAGCAATCGAAAAAACAATACATTATCAGACAATAAAGGTATACTTTTTGATGACGTAACAATTGAATGACGTTATGCCGTCACTGCGCCATTATAGTGTGCCCCCTCGTAATCGAACCATTTTACATTACGTCACAATGTAAGCGACGTCACGATGCATGTCAGTTGTCATCGCCTCGTACGGCCTCCTACAGGAAACTACTCCGTTGCATCCCGTTTCTTGGTTTGCAGTTGCTTCACTCACCTGACATCACTGGTGGAAACATTACGTTTATGTTTTACGACGGTTAAAATGTCTCAATTCGACTCACAAGTTTTCAGCGACACGGTAACGTTCGCAATATTTACATTCCCACAATGCAATCGTGGAATGTCGCTTGACTACTCAGCTTCATCTGGATGTACTGATCTAAACTAGTAGTAGAAATGCGACGTTCATATTGCCCCATATGGTTTACGTTAATCACAGATGTAATTAAAATAATTTAGAGAAGATATTCAATCCGAACGTAAACTGTTATCATTTGTTCTCTGGTAACGTTCGTCTTAACGTAGGGGGGAGACACATCAATAGAACAGCGCGCCAGATAGCCCTGTGCGAGGATTACTAATTTAGGTCACCGACACCGTCGTTTGTTTTCTGCCTTAAATTAATCGTAATTATCCTTAGACAGTAGTAAATTTGGCATCTTAGAAAGAAATACAGTTCGCTCTACCACCATGTATAGTGTAATAAAGCACACTTTCGCCCTGAACTATTATAACGTTAAAGCACTCGGACGCAATTAATTACCTAGTTATTATTGATGTACAAAGGTATAGTTCTCAAATGCTTTGGGCGAAGATCATAATGTACTGGGCATTTATGAAGAAAGTGAAATTCGTCTTCTATATTTTTAGATTTTCATTTTCATACTTTACCAACATGACTCTGACGTGGAATACCATCATGTCTACCAATATTCTGTAAATTGCTAGTTCCATATACTCTTTATTGCCTACCCTGTGCTTTCCAAACAAAACCATGTCCATAGCTAAATGATATTGTTCTTGTATGATATGTCCACGTGTTCGGTCCTTCCTTGTCTAGGTTGTATAGACCCCTGAAGATCCGGGGTAGAATAGGTCTTCAGTAACCCATTCTTGTTACAAAAGGCGATTATGCTTGTGGTAAGAGGCGACTAACGGGATCGGGTGATCAGGCTCGCTGACTTGGTTGACACGTCATCGGTTCCCAATTGCTCAGATCGATGCTCATGCTGTTGATCACTGGATTGTCTGGCCCAGACTTGATTATTTACAGACCGCCGCCATATAGCTGGAATATTGCTAAGTGCGGCGTAAAACTAAACCCACTCACTCACTCAGTAGGTTGTATAACATGAGGTAACACTGCTTTGGATGTCTATTTTATGGTAATTCAAGGAGTCTGAGCCAGTATTTAACCATTCGCATTAAAGAATCAACAGTAATGTCTTCCACAGTCAGCTATTACAGCAAATTTCTACAATCATAACTCACACCTAAGACATTATGCTGTCCTAGCATTCACCCACTTCCAAAACAACAGTCAAGAATCAAGGATCCAGTTTATCGTTTTATTGGTAATCTTCATTTGTAAATATGGAAGATATAGGGTAAGACTGAAATGTACAAAACACAATAATAAGTTTAAAGTTCTTAAAGTTCACACACACTCAAAATTTTCCCTAATAGAGTAAATTTCCCAAAAATATGCATAAGTCACAATAATTGCTGACTAAATGCATAAACAGCCAAAACCTGAATTTGTTACACTGTTACATGTAAATGAGAATAATATAACTTCAGTAGATGCACAAGAGGTAACTCTGCAATGACCATATTGATAGGTTAACCAGTCCAATTGTAAGGATATTTTAAGAATGCTTCAAATACTGCATTTTGACAGCATAGCATTTCTAGCCCAAAGAAACTTACATCCTAAACTAACAAAGCTGTAAAATATGTTTCCTAAATTCAATATACTATAAACATTCCAAAATACTATGCAACAATAGCAATAAAAGCATTTGAAAACAGTTCAGTGTTTTCCCTGCCCGATATTGAACGCCACATCCAAAATATTAAATTTTATTTACACACAAAATTGCCTAAATAATGAAATTGAACACATATTACAATATGAAAAGAGCAGCAAATATGAAAATACATACACTTTGTGGATTTGTAGCCCAAAAAGGGAGAAAGTCTGTGCCAAGCGGCATTCCATATCGAAAGTTCAAAAACAAGAGGCACGAGAAAGGTGCTTCCACAAAAAGTACCCGTGACAAACGGTGCAAGTGAAAAGGTTCCCTATGAAATACAGCACAGACATATACTGAGTCAAAAAGAAACTTCACAAAATGTAATTTGAAAAATAATGAATAATTTTTCTCTGATGATACATCTATGTATCCGATCCCTATCTTTCGACTCTAGAAAAACGTTAGCAAAACCCACTCAGACCCATCCATTCGTCGTGCAAATGACGTTAGTGCCAAATCAGGTTGTGCACGTGCAGTCGATCACGTGATCTTCGCATCGAAGTTTTCTTCATATGCACGTGTTTGCATTGGCCTCAAGAATTGAAAAAACACTTTTAAAACACAGTTCTAAAAGTACTTGAAATGCCACGATAGTCAAATGTGCAACGTGAACGTGCCCTTGGCATGTTGCAAGCCGGAAGATCAGTTATTGACGTCGCAAGAGCAATGGGATGCAGCTGTCGTACTGTGTATGACTTGCGAGGTCGTCTACAACAAATTGGCACCACTTCTGATCGCCCAAGGTCGGGTCGTCCACGTGTGACGTTACGAGCAGAAGACCGTCAAATCGTCCTACGTCACCTACGTGACAGATTTCTGCCGGCTACACGAACCAGGGCTGAGATGTTTAGAGGTCGACTGTCCTCACAGACCATCCGGTTGCATAGACCATCTCCATCTCGACGTCCATATCGTGGGCCAATATTGACGCTGTTTCATCAACGTCAACGTCTGCTGTGGGCCCAACGTTACCTCCGATGGACCCAGAGAGACTGGAATCGAGTCGTCTTTAGCGATGAATCCAGGTTTACCCTCAGATTCGCGGACGGCAGGCATAGAGTCTGGAGACGACGTCGTGAACGGTATGCCCAATGTTGTGTACAGGAAGTCGACAGATTCGGGGCGGAAGTTGCATGGAGTGGGGTGCTTTCTGTGGAAATAACCGTTCTCGACTTCTGGTCATCCGTGGTAACCTCACAGCTGCTGCTTACCGCGACCAGGTGCCCCTGAACTCGTTCCTTTCATGGCGGCTCATGGCCCAGGTCTACAGTTCCAGCATGATAATGCTCGGCCGCATATAGCCATGTTGACACGAAATTTCCTTCAAAACGCCGGAATCAATGTCATGGATTGGCCATCGAGGTCCCCTGACCTTAATCCAATAGAGCACGTTTGGGATGCACTTAAGAGAAGGCTTCGTGGTCTTAGAACCAACCTCAGAATTTGCAGGAACTTGGCGCTGCCTTGCAAGAGCAATGGCGCAGAATCCCCAACCACCTGTTCACAAGCATCAGGCAGTCGATGAGGAGACGGTGTTTGGCAGTGGTGAATGCGCGGGGCGGCCATACACGATATTGAACTGAGAAATTTCGCATTTTTATTCTTGTGACTTGACATTCTGTATACCCATGTTTTGGAACGGCGGTGTAGCCTAATGGAACTGATTATGGCACTGTCAGTGTATCGAGCACATCACACAGATCTCAGCAATGAAATAATAACAATTTAACCATCTTACCATCTCTTTTTCTTTTATAGTGCCCTGAAGAAAGAATGTGAAGTTTCTTTTTGACTCAGTATATTTGCAAAACCTTAGGTGAAATCTACCCGTGGAGATAGAACTGTAGAATTGGTCTTCAGTAACTCATGCTTGTCGTAAGAGGCGACTAACGGGATCGGGTGGTCAGGCTCGCTGACTTTGTTGACACATGTCATCGTATCTCAGTTGCGTAGATCGATGCTCATGCTGTTGATCACTGGATTGTTGGGTCCAGACTCGATTAGTTACAGACTGCCGCCATATAGCGGGAATATTGCTGAGTGCGGCGTAAAACTAACCTCAATCTCTTAGGTGAAATCTTTCGATAACAAACCACTTTTGGAATCCCCATACCTCAGATGTATACAAAGTAATAGGTCTTATCTGGACATAAAAAATAAATAAACAGAACTACAGGGATAAAAAGGTTTAATCTGTTAACAAGAATTTGTGCACACAACAGTGCTTTGTTTGCTTTATTCACGAGATTTTGCACTGATTTTGACCATGAAAGCGTACTTGAAAATAACAGCCCCCCACCCCACCCCACCCCCAAACCACTTTTCAATAAGTTGAATTTTTAAATTTTCTACCGCCAATAAACGTTTCCTAAGTTTTCATTCTTCTCCAAATTGACAGCCAATCCTCATTGATAACAACATTTTTGTAACACTTCCTAGTTTTCTTTGTAAACCACACTGTCAGAAGATAATCACAAATCATCCGCATATAATAATAAATACAATTCTGAAAATTCAGGGCAAATAAATATAACTCTGTCACCACACTGTTCTATTTCTTTACTTGGTTGATTTACTAATACCGCAAATAAAATCGCACTTAAAATG